CTCTCTCTCTCTCTCTCTCTCTCTCTCCCCTGCCTCCCGGTATACACACACGCCCCTAAAATAAAAAAAAAGAGCGCATCACTAATTTGCGCATGGAGCATGGTGCATGCGCTCCGCAGAAGTGTGCCGCAAGTATGATACATACATACATAAAACGTACATACATACATACATACACACATACATACATATGTACATACATACATACATAATACGTACATACATGCATACATACATACATACATACATACATACGTGCATACATAAATATGTACATACATACATAATACGTACATACGTACATGGTACATACATACATACATACATACATACATAATATGTACATACGTACATACATACATACATACTTACATATGTACACACATACATTCATACATATGTACATACATACACAACATACTTAACATGTGCAACACACATAACAAACGAAGTATACATAACATAGATAACAAACATACATGATTGCTTGATATGTCCGAAGACTGTAAACACAAGTGGTCTTCCCGGTGCATGGCTGGGAACATACCATTTGCTGTCTGCGTATGCAGATCAGGTACGCCAACGGGTCTTCTGTTTGACTGGGACAGCATATAAATATGGCTGCAAGATTCTCCGGGGGAGATAGAGGCGTCTGCTCATACCAGCGCCTCTAGCTCCCAAACGGCCAATTAAATAATAATAATAATAATAAATATAATAATAATAATAAATGACTGCAAGATTATTATTGATCCTAACTTGACACTTAAAAAAGAAGTGACAAGTATGTCCCCACCTTCGGTCCTTGACACTTCGAATGTGGGAAGATTCTGTAAATTTGTCGTGGACGCGAAGGTAAACATTCACCCTCAGGGTGTTTTTTACACCTTTGGTTAGTGATACTTAGTATTCATGTTGTATCTTTGGTTAACATTGGCCCCGATGTAGGGCTGGTGCTCTCTTGTGAATACTTGTACTTCTGGTTAACATTCGCCCCGATGTAGGACTGGTGCTCTCTTGTGATCACACTGTCGTTAGGTGTCACGTCTATCATA